TAGCTAAATTTAGCTTTTGTTTATCACAAATTAAAAGCCGTAACACCTCGGGCAGTTTGTGTAAAATAGCGACAGGCGCATGCTACGTTGTACAATTTGTAAAAAGACCCCAGATTTAGTTGTTCAATTGTGCCAGTGAAGAAAAAACTTTCGGAATAAAAATTATAGAAACAGATGTAGATGCAAACGGTACAATATTATTAACCGCGCAATTCTGAGGTGTGGAAAACCCACACAGAGCAAAACACGGGTGATGACCTTTTCCATGACCTTATATTTTCAAATAGTAAACTTGTCCTTAGTTTTAGGGTACTTTAGACAATACGCAAGCAGTTCAAACTGCACAGATTAGGTTTTGCCTTTTTAAAATTTGTTTCAGCTTTGACCTGTGCCGATGCACGCACAAATCTTAGTTGTCATTTCCCGTGACTTTCTTATGACCGACAAGACATAATTTTCACGCAGGTCTCGAAAAATAACTGTTCAAATCTCTCCGGGCTTGCCATGACCCGGACAAACCCTATGACCGTCCACAATGCGGGCGGCAAACATTTTCATCGTTACGTAGTTAATAAAGCTGTGCGACAAATATTGTAATCTTACCTCGACTTAAAAGCAGACTTAAAAGATGTTTCGTTAAACTTGTTTCCTCGGTGTATTTAAGCTTACAGATTCTGACTGAGCTTTACAGAGTTCATTTTTCAGGGCTTTCGAGCCTTAGAATATCAGGTCTTTAAATTATATGGAAGGAAGAAAGCAATCACGAACATGTCTCCATCGCTTCGCACACGCGAAGTACGTGTTGGTTTCTATATTATTCTCCTCAAATTACAAACTTCACGCGCGTGTCGTGGGGCTGCTTAGAACCACGCTTGGGGTCCCAGTTGACTATTGACCCAGGCCTTAATTTACCCGAGTTTGACACCCTTAGGAAACAGCTATGGCGAGTCTCGACTTAAACCTATGGATAGGGTTTGGGTTGTAGATATCACTTGAGTTCCATTGACCTTTTTCCAGTATTTGATGTTAGGGTTACAGTTGGGTTAGGGTTACAGTTGGGTTAGGGTTACAGTTGGGTTAGGGTTACAGTTTTAGGGTTAGGGTTAGGGATAGCGCAAGTCAAGTGACAATCATTGTCATTGCCCTCCAGCACCCTGGGGCAAATCGTTAGATGGCATTGGTACTGCTGAGCCCAAAACAGTTTCCACTAACTTGATGATTTAAAAACTGCTTCTTGCATTTTTTGTTCTAATTCCAAAGTGAGGGCTGCAAGGCTTTTGAGAGCTTTCCTCCCTCTCTAAATCCCTACTCTTAACTAGTTAGCAGTTTCCATAGTTAGAGACATGAAAATAGCAATATAGTGACAAAAGGAAGGTTTTGTTAATTAATTGCTTAACTCTTAGTCGACAAGCCACGCAGACATGGTAGTAATTGTTACTATTACTGTTGTTATTTGTTCTCCTGTTTAAATTAAGAGACAACATTATGTAAGTGTGTACATTGCAAGGCTGTTTGATGTGACACCTATTGCAACCTAAAACACCCACAATGATTCCCGTTTTCCATTGCAGTGAACCGTTCATATAACAAAAAATCCTAAAAATCCAGCATTCTGCTCCAAGAACAACACTGAAAAAGTGTCGATCTTGTAAGATCAAAACTTGCTCAAGAAATTAAAAGTTTACGTTCAAAACACACCTCAGGGCCAGATCTTCGATCGTTAGGTCANGTGCTTTACTGCGAAGGATCGTTCTCATATACGTCTCATAACCGCAGTTCACACATATGTTTCATATGTTTGTTGTTGTTTGATTTATCATCTACGGGTTTATATCGAATTAATTTGATGGCCTGCTCCCAGTTGGCTTGTTAGCTCAATTGGTAGAGCGCTGCACTAGTATCGCAGAGGTCAGTGGTTCGAGTCCCGTACAGGCCTGAAATTTTTTTCAGGTCTGATTTTCACTATTGCTCAAATAGTGCTTTACTGCGAAGGATCGTTCTCATATACGTCTCATAACCGCAGTTCACACATATGTTTCATATGTTTGTTGTTGTTTGATTTATCATCTACGGGTTTATATCGAATTAATTTGATGGCCTGCTCCCAGTTGGCTTGTTAGCTCAATTGGTAGAGCGCTGCACTAGTATCGCAGAGGTCAGTGGTTCGAATCCCGTACAGGCCTGAAATTTTTTTCAGGTCTGATTTTCACTATTGCTCAAATAGTGCTTTACTGCGAAGGATCGTTCTCATATACGTCTCATAACCGCAGTTCACACATATGTTTCATATGTTTGTTGTTGTTTGATTTATCATCTACGGGTTTATATCGAATTAATTTGATGGCCTGCTCCCAGTTGGCTTGTTAGCTCAATTGGTAGAGCGCTGCACTAGTATCGCAGAGGTCAGTGGTTCGAGTCCCGTACAGGCCTGAAATTTTTTTCAGGTCTGATTTTCACTATTGCTCAAATAGTGCTTTACTGCGAAGGATCGTTCTCATATACGTCTCATAACCGCAGTTCACACATATGTTTCATATGTTTGTTGTTGTTTGATTTATCATCTACGGGTTTATATCGAATTAATTTGATGGCCTGCTCCCAGTTGGCTTGTTAGCTCAATTGGTAGAGCGCTGCACTAGTATCGCAGAGGTCAGTGGTTCGAATCCCGTACAGGCCTGAAATTTTTTTCAGGTCTGATTTTCACTATTGCTCAAATAGTGCTTTACTGCGAAGGATCGTTCTCATATACGTCTCATAACCGCAGTTCACACATATGTTTCATATGTTTGTTGTTGTTTGATTTATCATCTACGGGTTTATATCGAATTAATTTGATGGCCTGCTCCCAGTTGGCTTGTTAGCTCAATTGGTAGAGCGCTGCACTAGTATCGCAGAGGTCAGTGGTTCGAGTCCCGTACAGGCCTGAAATTTTTTTCAGGTCTGATTTTCACTATTGCTCAAATAGTGCTTTACTGCGAAGGATCGTTCTCATATACGTCTCATAACCGCAGTTCACACATATGTTTCATATGTTTGTTGTTGTTTGATTTATCATCTACGGGTTTATATCGAATTAATTTGATGGCCTGCTCCCAGTTGGCTTGTTAGCTCAATTGGTAGAGCGCTGCACTAGTATCGCAGAGGTCAGTGGTTCGAGTCCCGTACAGGCCTGAAATTTTTTTCAGGTCTGATTTTCACTATTGCTCAAATAGTGCTTTACTGCGAAGGATTGTGCACATATACGTTTGATAACCGCAGTTCATACATATGTTTCATATGTTTGTTGTTATTTTGAGTTCTTTCTTAAATGTAGCTAGGCAGCTAAAGGATCTGATTGGTAACGCACGGCAACGAGTACGATAAGGCAGGAGCAGCATGAGCAAAAACGCGGTTCCCAAGTCTAGAGCAGATGACCGTGGAATGAACAGAAGATATTGTGTAGACAAGCGAAGAGCATAGTTGGAGGCACATTTTAGAGATAACACATCTCAGATTGTTTAGCGACTTAAAGACAGACAGAAGCAAATTTTAAAATGAACTCTGAATGATACAGGAAGCAATTCTAGGTCTATGAGAGTCGGTGTAATGTGTTCAAATTTAGTAATCGGGAAAATCATCCCAGCTGTGGTGTTCTGAACGTTCTGTAAACGATCAAATTGATAATTAGTTGAAACAAAAAGAATTTAGTCACAGTAATCGAGGTGCGAAGATACAAAAGCGTGAATCAGTGTCTTTGTCGATTGCACACTGAGAGAGGAATTTTTTACTTTGTCTGATGCCTGCAGAGTCCACGAAAAGCCTTGCTTTAGATCTCACCGATGTGAAAATCCATCAGCATCTGAAGCATTTCAATCTCCTAAACACTGAAAACTGAAATACAACAGGAATCATGTTCCATAATGCCTGGTGTGGATTACGTTATTGTACGCAACAAGGAGCATGTTCGTATTCGAAATGGCGGGAAGTAGCAGAGGAGTGCTTATCTTGACCACTTTCCTATTCTATGGAATACTTTTTACGTTAAAGCTACCTTTGCGACCCTATCTCAGATCGTTATCATTAACACCTTGAAATATCATTCAACTCTAAAATAAGATGAAAGTGAAATATGTTAGACACTATTTTCTATGAGAAACTAAATGTCCAGAGTAGGAATTTTGAAAAACACCACTTAAGTAGACGTACAGATTTTGAAAAACAACACCTGGAAGGTTTATCGTGTTGTCAACTTGATACTCGGATTCGTGAAAAGTCTCTTCCGATTTTCGTATGACCTTTATTTTGAGGATACACTCCTCTGCATGCTCTTTGAAGAAAAAGCCTGCAATATATATGCGTGCATCACGAAATATGTGCTCGAGGTTACACGTGAGTAGTATATGTTACCCACTATAGCTCACCTACAAGTTTTCACTGAAAATACGTATAAATATTACCCACTATAATTCACCTCATTTATGTATCTAAATCATATATTTATGCGAATAATATTCACTTATATTGGCGCTGCGGGCTCATTTTTCTTACGAGGCCGCAGTTCCAATATTCACTTATATTATTCGTATAACTATGTGATTTAGATACCGCGGGTTAGTTCATCAGCTTGAACCCAAACTCAAAACCCATAAGGAAACGTGTCTATCCCGGATTTGGTCTTCACCATTTCCCGCTTATCATAGCACAGTTCGAAGTCTTTCTCTTGGTATCGGTTGACTATCCGTTTCGTTGCCGGATCGCGAGTTATCGCTTGTTCATTTACAATAGTAATTCGGCGTTTTTGTCCTTCAATGACCTGCTTCAAAGTCTTTTCATTGATGTATTGGCTGTTCTCATGATTAAGTGTGAAGCCCTTAACTTTACACACCATTTTACCATCACTTGTTGTGTAGCTGTATGACTTTGGGCCGGATTCGCACCAATTTGCTTTGTGAGATCCATCTAACTCATCAGTCGCATCACCAAGACTATCCCCCGTTTTGATCTTCTGCTCACCATCTTTTTCGACATGCCATACGCTGTCAGTATCAAAACCGAGAACCTGCTCTCTAAGGGGTTCTAAAAATTCTCTATGCATCATCATCCTTGCATGGCTTGTCGTAAACGCCGCAACAAAGATGTTTGTATCTCCACTATTGTCGACGAACTGATCTTTCAAGTTGTAACTCATCTCGACCATTTCCCCATTTATAAACTGAATGTTCAGATCATTGATACTATCATCGAGTAGAATTCTGTAGAATTCTGCAGGCTCAGTGGCATACACAGTCTCCTTCATATTATTTCGCTGCCCAAACTTCCCCCACAGACTGTTCAGACACATCTTCGCAATCGCTCTCTTTCCAGCATTGAACTCGATCTTGGTAAAATCGATCCCAAGCTTCGATTTAACGATTGACTTGTGCTCGTCAACACTCTTATACGTAAAACCTTCACCTGTCTCTAGCTTGCTTGATTCCATCTTGATCTTCATAAATTTCCGGACATAACCTTTGAAAAGGTCGTCGCTTCTCTCTTTGAAGTCCCACACTTCAAAGATCTTCTTTATCTCGTAGCCTTTCTCAATAACTAAATTCAGTTCATCTGTGCACCATGTCCCAACAAACGATCGTTCACCATCTGAATGATTACACTTCTGCCCTCTCTTCTCAGCGCACACACTGCAGAGATGCTGCTCACGTTTTGGTTTTGAATGTTTACACCTCAGAGTCTTCTCCTCAGCACACGTCCTGCAAAGATGAAACAGCAGCCTCTCCGCATTACCACATTTCGTTTTTACCGGTAATACAGGGTGATAAAGGGCTCGTGGAGGTAAGACTGCACTTAACAAAACCGAACCAGCTCTCATCATACTCTTGAGGACGGTCAAGTATCTTTGTTGGGTGAGCTATCGGATAGTCTTTGCAGAATTGCACCGTCGAATATAGAATGACAAAGTCGACATACTTCCCTTTCTCACCCTCTTTGAAATCATAGGTCAGTTTCGTTACATTTGTGCGTCCACCAAAGAATGCGTCTCTCGGATTGAGAGGGCCGACTATCTCGCGATCCCTTGTCTTGTAAAACTTTTCAAAATCTCTATCTCTCGCTAGCTCACACTCCCAAATCTCGGCTAAGTGGAACCCAGCAGCTCTAATCTTCCCACACTTCTCAGCAGTTCTTTTTCTCAGAGTCAACATATCGATCTGATTTTGACTGTTGATTGTGTGACTAGAGTAACACTTCGCGCAGCCGTGCCAAAAACAACCTTGAAACTCCTAAACTCTATTCCCGCAGAAGCGGTCGACATTTCCGACACCCGGTATATACGCTTCACCGCCATTCAGTGCGTGTTTTATCGACAAACCATCTCTCTTTGATATCCAATCTAACCATGCTATCGACATCTTGCTGTATGCTTCACCACGTGATACATCTCTCACAACGCCGATTTTCTCTTCAGGCATGTAGTTACTTCTGTAGATGGTCATACACACAGAGGCGATAGTAACGTACTGAAGAGGGTCGATATTCTCTAGCTCTTTAAAATCTTCTCGAAACTTCAACATGCTTCGTCGGAGAATATCTACATCACTCCGGCAGTACTCTCGAAACTCCTTCTTAAAATCAAAGATATAATCTCTTCAACTCTTTCGGCATCCCATTTCAAAAAATCTTTTCTTACACTTGACCTCATCTGGTCTACACCAAAGTATCTCTTAGCCTGTATCGGCCCAACATAATTCTGATTTCGTCTTGTGTTGAAATAATGAGGGAAATACCCCTTTTTCATCTCTGTCAACCCGAATGTTTTTGGGAACGCTGATAATTTGTCATGCAAAAAGTTCAAAGAGTCCATGAATCTAATACTGCGTACCTCCATATACATAATCTTCATCCCATTGTAAATAACGTAAGGTTTCACACCGTTCTCAATACACCAATTTCGGATGAACTGAGCAACGTAGCCTCTCGCTTTGTGGGCAATAAACGTGAATCCTTTGTGCACATCCTTAAAAACGAATTTGCAGAACTCATCGAGCCTTTCAAATGTGTGTATATTACGACTAAAATCTTGACAATCCACCCAGTTGACCTCATGCACACCGCTCTCTTGGGTCGCTTCAAAATCGAAGATAATGTATTTTGTACTTCTCGTCATGCAAGGGTAGCACCGTTCCTTTTTACTACACGGCGGACCAAGGCACTTTCCACCCTTACACTCTTTACGTGTCATGAAACAGAGATGTTTATTCATGTCACAATACTCGCGGCAGTTCTTACACTTTGAATATCCACAGATATGGCTTTTCAAACCATTGGTCACCGTCCGCTCACACTCAAGGCATTTCGCAACTCTTTTGCAAACAATATCTGATATCCCCCCAGAAGATCTTTCACGTTTGTGCTCTTCGAAACACTCTCTTCCGAAGAACGATCTATTGCAATCGGCGCACTTTATCTCTTCACCGGAGCACTTTTGACCATCTGGAAAGTGCTTGAAACATGCAATGCACTTTGTTGGACATTTGTGTTTGTCGCGATGTGTGTAAGGTTCCTTACAGGTGTGACAGTAATATTTTTTCGCCAGAAACGCTGGCATGCTGGTGATTACATCGAAGTTATTTTGGTTTTTGCAAAGGTAAATATGCCGGCCATTGCCGCCGTGGCATTCTTTTTCAGAAGTGAAGATCAACTCATTGAAATAATCACCATCGATGATATTAGTCTTAGCCTTGAGATGATCTGCAAGTTTTCCTATATCTTCGAGCGTTGAACCGTGTTGATTCATCTCAACACCCGCCTCCTCATGAAGCTTGATTGCCTCATCTCTCTGTACATTTCTTGAGTCGTTGAAGCCATTTTTCAACTGTGATGCTGTCCACTTATGCTTATTGATATTTGCAACAGCTGTCACAATCGTTCGCGCAAGGCAGATCGAGTCATCGTTGTCAATTGTGATCATACACCTTTTTCTCTCGATATTTGTCTTTGTGACGCGTAATCTTCCCTTTCCTCGCGGCATTTTAGTCGATTGAATCTCGATTTTGACCTCTGAGAGAGGTACTGAAGAATACTCAACATTCTCTGAAATCTAACGGACAAAGTCAATATCAAAATCATCGTCGTCAACTTTGTGCTAATCGGGTTTGGAAATGAATGATGAATACATATCACGCGTATCTTATCACCGTTTACCAACACTCTTTCACGACGAACTATGTTTACAACTTCAAAAATTGTTTTGTCGATATTGATCCCACCATCGTTGTCGTAAATTGCACCATTGATGTGAAGTGCGTCAAAGAACGTTGAGAACTTTTTGTTTGAGTTTGAATGGACTTCCGTAACACTAAACGGCTCACCTCGCGCGATCGGCTCTATTTTGTAGAGCTCGGCGATATGCGCTTTGAAATCTTTTAGTTTATCATCGATTGTTGCTCGCGGTTTACTGCTTTTGTTCGCTGTCTCTATCAGCCACTTACCCCAATCCTCTACCTCCCTCTTCCCCCAATCAACAGCTTTCTCAATCTTTTTTGGCACCCCTTGGAGTCCTGGTGTTGGATTTGCTGGTCTCAATATTGTCTGTTCTTTCGGTATCTCATGCTCCGGAATCGGATCATCAAGCAGAGACCCCTCTGGAAAGACGAAGACGTCTCTCCTCTTTCGCTTCGGTTTCACTGCTTTCACAGCGTCAAGCTTTGGCCTTTTTTCAGGAACTCCCTCCTTATCGACGAAAGTGATAACCGGTTTCACAGCGACAACCGCTCTCTGAAGTTCGATGAGCTCAATCAGCTCAGCCTTTCGAAGTTTTGAGTACCCACGAAGCCCCCACTCTTTAGCGATCAGTCGTAGTTTAACAACAGTATTCTTGTCCATAACCTGTAGATAATCTACCATATGAAAATAATTTTTTTAACCCCATTTTTCTGACCCTCGAGGACAAGAAGAACTACACCACTTTTGACGTGTTTACAGGTGAAAAGTATTAAAACCCTTTGGGCTCTTCAGACTTCTCCCCCCTTTACACGGTAAGCTTCGAAAATAATAGAGTAGTCTCTCCCATTGAGCTTAATTTTGTTCCTTGTAGCCACATTCTTGGATCTCAGCTTGGAGCCAAACGATCCAGGACTCACATTGAAGTGTTTCGCAGCAGCACTAATTGAGGGAAAGACCTGTCCATGTTCGCGTATATAATCTTCTCCCTCTATACCTGAAGTAACAGGGATACTACAACAAAGTTGTATCACTCTCCTCCTCATACCGGTGTGATGTGGACGACGAGGAGGAGGATCTCTTATCAGGTTAATCAACTCTTCTCTCCTAATCTTGTGATATCTTTGCAGTCCCATCTCTTTCGCTCTTTTGTGGAGTGCGGCTTTTGGAAGAGTGTTAAGCTTGTCCGGAGGGGGAGGAGAATCTCTTATCAGCTTAATCAACTCTTTTCTCTTAAGCTTGTGGTAATATTGCAGTCCCATCTCTTTCGCTTTTTCGAAGAGTGCACTGTTGGAAAGAGTTCTTAGCTTGTCAGACTCATCCATCTCAACTGTAAGTGTGTCTCATATATATATATGAAACAATTCTTAAACCATTTTTTCAAATGTCTTAAAGCTCTCTCTCATCAACCCATGAATTGAGTTTTTCTGGGTAACCGCTCCACTTCACGAGTGCCTGTGGGCCCCGGGGACCACTACTCCTTCTTATGACCTTCTCAACGCGGAAAAGGTCTGAAAGGCATTGCTTAGCTCTCAACATCTCCCCTTCATAGAAAGAGCCTTTGATGTCCTCATCGAGCAGGTCTTTCAACTTATAAGTGATCGGATCGGTATACTGTATCTTATCCACAACAAAGATTTCCTCTGTCCAATTCGGTGTGAACCCCTTATCAAACACTTTTCTCTTGTATTTTGAGATGCGAACACGATCGCCGACTGCAAACTTAGGTTTCGCTTTTGAAGCTCTCAACTCTCCATAGAGATTAAAATAGATATCATCCTCATTCTTTTTCTTGGAGGCCTCAACAGGTGTCATCTTGATCGATCTGTGCTAGCGATTGTTGTACCTCTCTACAATCTTCGGTAGAATGTCGAAGTACTACGTGTTGTTCTGTACTGTAAACTGCTTCCACATGTCTGTTTTGATCCTACGATTCCACCTCTCACAGACAGAAGATTTCTCCTCGTTCTCTGTCGGGTACATCTCCACACCGTTAGCTTTCATTAGGTCCTTGACGTGACTATTGTGATACTCTGACCCCTTGTCAACCCAAAGCCTCTTTGGACTTCTCCCTTCAGAGAATATGATGGTGAACCCCTCTGCCACACTCTCTCCCTTATTATTCTTCAGAGGAACGATCCAGCCGTATTTGCTAAAGACGTCCAGAACCATCAGCAGATAGCGATAGCCCTTGTTCCACTTTGCAAACTTCTGCATCTCAACGAGATCAGAGGACCAAGTGTCGTCGATACCCTTAACAATAACGCGTCGCTTTCTGGAGTTTCGTCTTATGGGTTTATGCAACTCATCAGCTAACCCCTGAAAGGGGGAAGGTCTCACCTCGACTTTTTTTTTCCACTCCAAGACCGAGCATCTGCTTGGTGTTGATTTTTTTCTGGCGGCCCAATGCCCCCACTGTCTCTCACCCTTTGGGATTGCATCGAGAGCTTTCACCATCTTACGGTCAGCCGCATTCTTACACTTCTTTGGGTTAGCGCGATTAGTGCTATATGCGCAGACGCTGTAATCAACATCATGTTGCATGGCGACGGCGTCGGTCGGTCCTGAGTGTGGGTCATAGATCTCCAAAATCTCTCCTGTCTTTGGGTCGTATCGAGCCTGATTTGCAAGGTCGTTGTACGGTCTTGTATACTTATGACCTGGAAGAGTCCAACCAGATTTCGGTCTCGGTAGTTTTCCGATAGCTTCGTGAATATCGAAAGATCCCCCTTCATAAAGGGTGTGTGTCGGATCATTGACACCATCAGGAGCATACATTGACATTGGATATATTTTTGAATAATCATAAACACTTCCCCCGATTCTTCTGCTCATATCATCTGCAAAAGAATCCAAGGCTTCATCGAGATATCTGTTCGCTGTCTCCTTCATCTTTTTCTTTGCAAAGTCTGACTTGACGGCTTTCGCGAGAGACTATTGTCCGAGATTGACCAGATCCTTCAGCCCCATCTCAGGAGGAGAGATGCTGTTCCTTCCTACTTTATTGAAGATTGCACCTCCTTTTTTCCACACAGAATTCTAACTTCTGTGATACCGCACTCCGCACACTTCGATTTGAGCATCAAGCTCCCATTCTTTGCGACCTCCTCTCTTTCACTCCCGGGTACAGACTCGGTCTGTTTTCGCTGTTTCACGCAGTAAGTCTTCATTGTGTCTTGTACTATGCTGCTAGATTTTCTCATCAAAATTTTTCATGCAGCTCTTCTTCTCTTTGTCGACAAACAAAAATTCATAAGGGCCGAGTTTTGAGAACAGATCCGGCTCAACCATATTCTCCTTTGCGATCAGGTCGCAATGGCGTTTAGTAACAGGAGTGTACAGGATGAGATGAGAGCAGTTCAATCTAATCTTCTGCGGTGTGTCGTAATACGACTGAGTCAGATAGATCGGGGAGATTTGGTGATGTCTTTCCCCGGTGTAATGGTTCACAATCTTTTTCTGAACAACATCCGGAGCGTTGATGAGGTCGTCGAAAATCACTACCTTCCTACACCCCTCGGGATACTCTGATGTGTCAAGAATGTCATCAGGATTCAGAATCTCTAGAAAATCGTAACCAACTCTCTGTGATACTTTATGCATAAACTTTTGCAGATCCTGAATCTTTTCTTGATGAGTGTTTGGTGTATAGAGGTAGATCTTTTCATAAACGACCAGAGGTAATCTCAACATATGCATGAGAGTGTTTGTCTTTCTACTCCCGCTCCCACCGGCAATCAGCATTCTGTACTCCTCATCAAGAAAGTCATTCAACCTTCTCTTCCGATTTCTATGTGAACCTTTCACATCGTAATTCGGGATATTAACCATCTTCGATTTACTGTTGTACAACAAATAGTAAATTACAAAAAAGATCTTTTGAACAGATCTTGAGGTGACACTTAACTGAAAAGATAAGTGCTACTCACGCTTTTTGCATCAACGACACTTAAGTGAACAGATAAGTGCTACTCACGCTTTTTTTCATCAGCGACACTTAAGTGAAAAGATAAGTGCTACTCACGCTTTTTGAAACCTCTCAAACCGAGAGTGATGACGGTGTTTGTTGTTCCTCTTAAGGTTCATAAGAGGAAGATCTACGAGATTTCAGTCTTTCAGATCTTCAGATCTGCCACGAATCTCTCATCATAATGCTTCACTGCTTTAGTCGATTGAAAGATTGGACACAGACCTGTGATCGTATCATCGATGAGTCTGACCTCATTGAGAAACGATGTGCTGTCGAACGGTCTTCCTCTCAAATAGGACCTCAGTTCAGTCAAGATCCTCTCATAGGTTATAAAGGCGAATTTGCTCATATCGATCTTTCTCTCGAACTTCTTCACATCTGTGAAAGTCTTGAGAAGGAGACCCGTCCCTGTAATTGCGGCGAGCGGGATGGGGCTCATAGTCAATCCCCCGACGAGTGTCCCGATAACAATGAGTGAGGTGCTTCCCAGGCTGCAGAGCAGGCTCTTTCTCATGAAGGTTTTGAATGTCTTCCTCGAACACCACCATCTCTTGTGGTAATATCTGTAGAGAGCTTTGATCTCTTCTATTATCTCCTCTCCGATAGAGTAGTCGATGTGGTTGAAGTTGAAGATGTCTTCCTCAGAGTGTGTTTCATTTTATTATGGGAACCCATGATAAAATACCCATATTAATGAGTAATCCGCTGTACTGTGTTTCACAAAAATTTCATTCTGTTCAATGCTGTTTCACAATCATCAGATGACTATCATTCAAACCGTCAAGAAGAAGAGAACGGTTATCTGTCGCAATGCTCAGAGACGTGTTCGCTTGGAAATATAGTGATATAGTATTAGCGAGTGACGTCCAAGCATTTTTTGTGTTGGGTAGCACTACGAATATACCGTTCGCTGTGGTCACGAACGGATTGCTCAAGATGAATCTGAGATGTCATAGATGTTGAGACTTGATACCATCGGTGTATGTGATCAGATACATACCAGCGTTTTTGATTATGAGTTTTGCGTTGTCGGAACTGTTTACTGTGAAATCAGCGTTAGCGCTCTGTGATACATATGTGGTATGATCTGATGCTCCATTTATGTAAAAGTTTACCTGTGATTTATTGTCATGAGAGCAGTTTCCTCGATACCAGATCTTTCTTGTCGCATTCGTCAACGCTGTTTTGGTTGCTCTTGCATTGATCTTTGTTTGGAAAGATGTTTTCATATCATCGACATATTTCTTTGTAGTCGGGTTTCTGTCATCCTTCGGTTCATTCATCAGCTCGACTTGTTGATAAATGTACATTTTTCTGTCATAGAAAGAGTACCATTGATCCCAAACAGTCTCAGGCAGACTGCTGTGATATCCCTTCCTTCCGTAAACCACAACCCAAATCGGAAGTTTCTGATCATAGACCTGTCCTGATCTATTTTTCATCACGATGTCAAACATGAGATATTTTGGTGTTGCGTCACTCCATTTTGTCATATGTATGAGGCTAACAATATGATTTGAGAATCGATTGCTGCGCTGCCTTGAAACTGTCTCGACAGAGCTTGTGGCAGTCAGAGTCACAGAGTTCGGATCAACTTTATTGGATTCCCACCACATTTCACAGACAACTGTGTACTCTGATTTCGCGGCCAAATACATGTTGACACCAAAGCGACTCGAACAGTAACCTTTTGATGTATCAAGAAGAAGATCGAACGGTTTTATCTTCTTTACAAATCTATGAAAGTCTTTGAAAATTTGTGGTTTGCCGGTGATATCATCTTCATCGCTAAATTCATTGCCAATAATACTATTCATGATACAATCGAGGTCGTTTCTCAAATTAGTGGTTGTAACGCTGTGAGCAAGGTGGTCATTGACATGTTTTTCAAGGTTCGGTTTGGTCGTCCCCACAAGGGTGTCGACGTATGTTTTGTTACATAGATCATTCCCACCGCTCGGTGCAGCAGAGTTAAGTGCTTTACTATTGCCGAGATTGAGGTTTCCTGTCATTGTGTCGCCTGCCTTATTTAGCTTGGTGGTGGCTAAATTCGTAACAGTTGTGGTACAATGATCTACATACTTTTTGCTCACAGCTTCGCCATTATCTGCAAAACTATCTACTAGATTGGTTATCTTTCTCTGTTGAGCATCGAGAATCTGTTTATCATCTAAATTAGAAAAGCTTGGTATTATCTTTTTCACATTGTCAACGTATGGTTGATTCGCATTGGAGAGAGTGGTAATATGGAGTAGAGCCTGTAGATGCTTCTTTATTGATGCTGCTTCATATCGAGAGACGAGTGTATTTGAGCTCTCATAAGTGGATTGCTGAGCGGTAGTCATACCGAGATAGTTCTCTCTCTTTGAATTTATTGCGTCGTTACCATTCAGATCGATATCACCGGTCATTTTCTGACTACCACTCAACAGCATCACAGTGGTGGTATTAGGCTTTGTGACTATGCTTTGCCTGAAAGTGGTTGTATCGAGTTTTGCTGTCAGACCGTTAATTGCGGTCGAGATGTCGGCTTTCTTTCCGACTTCAGTGTTGAGTTTATTCAGATTGACAGCTGCGGTACCGTTTAGGGGTTGATTGGATAGACCGCTAATCTGCCTATCAGCACCGTGAGAGCTGGTGAAAGCTAACTCCTTCAGAATATTCCCACCCTTTGTTCTATCGAGAAAGTTTGAAAGATCGACGCTTGCTGCATCTCCTGTGTCTCCTTTCGGACCAGTCGGTCCTGTGTCTCCTTTCGGGCTAGTCGGGCCCGGTTCACCTGGTGGACCTGGTGGCCCTTCCGGTCCTTGTTTACTCGAACTCTCTTGTGTGTGGTTGGTGTTAT